GCAGATCGAAACTCCGATCCACGGTCCAGATCGCAGGCTTTGAAACTGGTTCAGTCCTTGGCCTAAAACGGCCTGCCTGGGTCCCTACCGGACGTGCAGGCCCTGTCCATGATTCAGTTTCCTGGTACCTGGCTTCGACCCGGTCCTGTGCGGACGTACCCGACCTCAACGTCGCCCTGGGTCCGAACAGGTAGAAATCTGTTCGAAAACAAAAGAAAAGGTCCAAACGTTTTTAGGAGCTCAGCCTCTGGGCCTGAATCTGGCCCTGGTCCTAAAACGTGTCCCTGGCCACAAAACGGACAACAGTACAACCGTTAGAAAAACAGCAGCAAATAAATAAATAAAAGAATATAAAAATAATCTAAAGCTGGCGTTTTTCTGATGCAGGCCCAAGTAAAAATGCCATAGGGCCTTCAGATTGCGGTGACGCGACCTGGGGACCCTATTCCAACCTCGGGTCCCGTGAGGGGCCCGTGTGTAGGCTTTCAGCATGTAACACGCCCCCCTCCTTATGAAGACGAGTCGGGGCGCGGGCGAAGCTGCCGATCCGATGGCGGAATGTAGCGAGGAAGGCGAGGAGATGGAGTGCTCGGCGTAGTCTTCCCTTTGCTAGGATAACGTGAGAGAACGGCGGGAGTTGTGGCCTGCAGTTCCGAACGCGTCAGCCAACGGTCAGCCTTGTGGCTGCAGTAGGAAAAGTGAAGTAGAAACTCTGTTTCTTTGTTGCCATGGCGCCGGTCGGTGATGATGTAGCCGGCCTCCTGAAATCCGTCCATGGAAGGAGGGTCTTGCGTACGTCGACCGGGAAACTGGTCGGACTTCGCCGAGACAAAAGGAGCGAGTTTGGAACAGTTGAACACCGTGTGGACGGGCAAGTGAGGTGGCACCGCGATGCGGAATGARGGCCCCTCGGGATCATCACCAACTGCAGAGAGAATGCGCCAAGACCCCATCCACTTGGGGAGGAGCTTGCGAGAGATGTCTTGCTCAAGGCTGAACTCCGCGACGGAGACCCAAACCAGATCGCCGGCGCGGAACGGGCAAGGAAGGCGATTGCGGTTGGCTTGACGGCTCATCCGTATTTGTGTCGTCGACATCTGATCCCGTGCCTTGACAAGAAGCTCTTGCATGCGACGAAGGAACGCAAGATGGTCGTCGCTCTCGGCTGTGCGCAGCAAAGTGGTGTCCAGCGGCGATGAGATGGGTGAACCATGCTCAAACTTGAATGGCGACATCCCGATAGCCGGATGGATCGATGAGTTGTAAGCCAACTCAACGTCTGGCAAGCGCTCAACCCAATCAACCTGGTCGGGACGGATGAGAGTGCGTAGAAGGACTTGAGCGGTCTGATGCGCCCTTTCCGTTTGACCATCGGTTTGCGGGTGGCGAGCCGAACTCGGCTTCAAAGATGAGCCCCATCGCTTGACGAGGGCGACCCAAAAGTCGGAGAGAAAGCGAGTGTCCCGGTCGCAAACGATCTCCTTAGGGTAGCCCTTGGAGCGAATCCAACCGGTGTATAAGACMTCGGCTAACTCMGGTGCCTTTGCRTGATAGCGGCAMGRCAAAAACATGGCGTACTTGGTGAGGCGGTCGACGACCGTGAGGATCCCATCAACGCCGGTCTTGTGCTTCGGGAAGGGGCCGGTGATATCCATAGCAATCGCTTCCCGTCACGCAAGGGGAACTGGTAGTGGGTGTAGCTCGCCAAACGGACGATGGTTGCGTGACTTGCAACGCCGACAGACTTCGCACGACTCACAATAGCGGGTGGCGTCCTTGAGAAGGTCGGGCCAATAGAACCGCTGGCGAAGTCGGCCAAGTGTACGGTTGACACTAAAATGTCTGGAGGCGGGCGCATCGTGAAACTCGCCAAGAAGCCGTGTGCGCAAGTGTGAATCACTCGGCGCACAAAGAAGATCCTTACCCCGTGAATGCACAAGTAAGTAGCCCTYTTGGATCCGATAATGCGAAGGCACCGGATTCGGAGAGGAGCAATTCGCGTACTTGTCGCGAAAGTGGGGGTCGGCTTGATAGCTGCGGATGAAGCTCTCCCGCAAGTTGTCATTGATCTCGAAGGTAGAGTAGACTGCGGTGCAAAGATCCGGTCGCCGTGAGAGGGCGTCCGCAAAACGGTTTGACTTCCCGGGAATGTGATCGGGGAAAAAGTCGAACTGGTCAATGAAAGCCATCCATCGGGCAATGGTACTGTTAATCGTGTCTTGCGACTTGTAGAATACCAACGGATTGTTATCCGTTACCCATCGGAATGCTTTCCGACCAAGGAGGAAATRTCGCCGACGCTTGAGGGCGTGGACGAAGGCAAGAAGCTCCTTCTTCCRTGCGTCGTCGATCGAATGCACGGGAGGTACTTTCTTGCTAAAGTACTCGACCGGGTGCCAGTCCGTGCCATC